TTTTTTTTTTTTTTTTTTTTTTTTTGGTACCAGGAATCAAACTCCTTGTACTTGTGAGGCAGGCAGTGGCACTACTGAGCCAAGTCCCTGGCCTGCATGCCTTACATATTAATAAGCCTTTAGGAGTGATTCCACCAGTCTACCTTTCTTGGAAATTGGGCTGTGAAACTTAGAGAAATGAAGAAAGAATGGGCTGTTGCCTCATATTTTTTCTTCTGATAGGTGGATTTGGAACATGCACAAACTCCAAGAATGCTTTTGTGCAGTGGTAGTGGTTTCTTCTGGTTTATTAAAAGTGGTGCGCCTCTTAGTTTTGTGCCCACACATTGTGGTTCTGAATTTTATGAGCTGATGGAAATGGTTGGGAATGGTGCCCTCATCAGCACATGTATGAAATTGAGTCTAAAAGGTGCTTAGAGAGCTGTGGCTCCCAGCAGTGGGGCCGAAGTGTGCTCAGGTCATGGGAAGAAGCACATCCCTGTGGTCTTGGCCTTTCCTCTTCTTGACTTCTGCCATAGTCAGCACAGGTGTCGGTCTGGAGCACCTCGCCAAGGTTGGGCTGCATGCCCTCCCTGGCCCGCCCGCTGCTTCATCCTGCTCTATGGTACTCACAGTTTGGAGAATAAAAGCATTGAGATTGCATTAAAGTTTAAGGACTCGAGATGTTTAATTCAAATTTCTTTTTCTTTTTTCTAAAGTTCATTCCAGGCCACCAAAAAAACAATGTCATATTATACCTGAGTTTACATTGAGTATAGAATAACTTGGGGTTAGGGTTGCTGAGTAATTACAGGGAAATGGTAGGGGCGTTAAAAATGAGTGGCAGACTTGTATAGCCAACTTGGTAGTTTTTATTAACCTCGGATTTTTCTCTTTTTAATTGTGAAATACAGCATCCATATCAAGTAAAGCATGTAAAGTGAGCAGTTTAGAAGATAATTGTGCAGGGAGCAGAGGTTGAGAATAAGACATGGACCAGTATCGTATAGCTGTTTTTAATGCTCACTTTTCATTGAATTAATGGTAAACTAGTATAGGCTTTCTCATGGATTTTAGAAACTGAATGTTTTCATTTCTTCCTGAGGAAGAAGAAAATAAACAGTAGAGAACATGGCACTTATACTTGCTTAAGAAGTCTTAAAGCTTTCTGCCCAAAGTTTCAGTGAGCTGTGTGGTAAAGAGCGCACTCTGCATGGAGGGAGTAGAGGTTGTGTGGCAGATTGCAGGGCTTGTTAGGCTGTGGGTGTCACCAGCACCAAACCTGGAGGCCCTGGGTGGACCCTTATCTCAGATGGAACAGATCCTCATAGGATGTAGTGCCCTGCTGTCTTTAAGGCACTTCGGCCATTGTAATTTTAAAATGGTTCTGGGGTTTTCTTTAGGTATTAGAACTGTATTCTTACGTAGCTGTGTCAGCTTAAATTTTAAAAGGCTTTAAAGAATTTTTCTGAGCTGAATGTAGTGGTGTGCACATCTGTAATTACAACACTGATAAGCTGAGGCAGGAGGATCATAAGTGAGTCTCAAAGTAAAAAATAAAAGGGCTGGGGACTTAGCTTAGAGTAAATGTCCTGGGTTTAGTACCAAATACTAGTACTCAAAAAAAATCAATATTTTTGTTTTTGTTTGTCTTTGTTTCAATTTTAATACACCTATTTTCTTAAACAACCCCCCCCCCATTGAAGACTCAAAATTGGCATGGAGGTTAAAAGCAGCCATTTCTACTCTCACTTGACTCTGGGGCCGCCATGCAGCAGCCCAGTCTGTACCGCCACCCACTCTTATACCTACTAGCTGTGCCAGGGCTCTTTCAAGTACTGTGTTCTTTGGGGTGGAGACCCGTGGGCTCAGCTCAAGTCCAGGGGGAGTCGGGGGAGTGTTCCCGGAAGCGGGCAGGGGCCCTGGAATGTGAGTCCCTCGCTTGTACACCTGAACCTGAGCCTTGGAAGCAGCAGTCGCAGTGCAGTCTGCCCCGGCCGAGGTCGCTGTGGCTCTGTGCGGGAGGCGCTGTCACAGGCCAGCACCCACTCCAACTGATACAGCTGCGTGTGCCTTTCCCTTTCCCTTTCCCTTCCCCCCTTTTTTTTTTTTTCGTTCCGGAAATTGAACTCAGGACCTTTCGCTTGTGAGACAGGCAGCAGCACCACTGAGCTACATCCCCGGCCCTCTTTACCTTTTCTTAACTAAGCACTTCTTTGGGTTTAAGAGGTGTAGTATTTTTTAGACTTGAAATGATCGCTGATTTAGGATGGTCTAGACCAGTTTCAAATGAAGCTTTTTTTTTTCCTCCAAATTTATTCTGAGTCGTCTTGCTTTTGTGGTACTTTTCTGGCAACTGAAAGCTAACCCTAACTCTGATTTCTTTATAAATGTCTCTTATGTTCTTTTAGAGAGGAATTTGACCGTATTCAGGTATTCGAGGGATTTCTAAGCGATGCTATGCTTTGTGAATGAGATTTTTCTGTCACTACCCCACTTTTTAAAACACTGTTTATTAAAATTAAATGTACTTGGTATTACCCTGTTTCCCCACTGAAAAGTTTTTCCAGTTATAATAAATTGTTTAAGAACTCCTACATTTTGATAATCAGGAGATTGAATTGTAAAATAGAGAAGGAATTTTAAAATGAGTGATTTGTGTTCTCAGGATTGTATTAATATGACTTAAAGCTGCATTTACTGATTTGTCTTTATTATTCCTGGCATGAATTAAATTTCCTTAAATGTTTTTCAGGTTAATGAATCAAAAACGATACTAAAGCTGTGTGATTTTGGGTCAGCCTCACACGTTGCGGATAATGACATAACACCTTACCTTGTCAGTAGATTTTATCGGGCGCCTGAGATCAGTAAGTTTCTTGCAGTGCCCCAGACCTGGGCCATCCTCTGCAGTGGAAACAGCGGATTTAACGTCTAAGCACTGTTTTCCATCGCACTTCAGCAGCCGTTCGAGGTCCTTCCTGAGGAAGGGAACCATAGCAAGTTGATCCTCCTCAGGTGGATGAAGGTAGTTGTGACAGGAGTCTCGATCATGCCGAGCAAGAGTAGCAAAACAGTTGTGGGAAGGCCTGGACTTTGGAATATTGCTCTTGGGTATTCAGGCCTGATTCTCACATTGGTGGAATGTGTGGGACCTTTGTTTTGTTCTCTTCCTCTTTCCTTGGTGGTTGAGGTCGATTAGCATCTCCACCAAAGGTGAAGTGAAAGAGAAGAAATATATATATATATATATTTTCCCCCTTCTCATTCCTCTCCCACACCCCCATCTTTAGTGGTTTTCAAGTCTGTTAAGAATTAGTGGAAAGAACATGAAACTAGTTGCCAAACGGAGGAGCTATGGTTGCGGTTATAGGGCGACCTGTTAGTCTCCATTGGTGGAAATAAAAATTAGTAGTCATTCATCTTCCTCTCATGTATTATAACTTGTTTTATTTTGTTCCAGTTATAGGTAAAAGCTATGACTATGGTATAGACATGTGGTCTGTAGGGTGTACCTTATATGAGCTCTATACAGGAAAAATTTTGTTTCCTGGTAAAACCAATAACCACATGTTGAAGCTTGCCATGGATCTCAAAGGAAAGATGCCAAATAAGGTAGGACTTGGGCAGGTGCTTGTTCTCCAGGGCTTGGTTTCTGATAGATTGCTAAACTGCTGACTTTTGGTCTTCTAGCTGTAAAACAAAGATACTAGAGAGGAAAATGGTTGCCTTGATTCCTTAATTGCTTTCGCATTTCATGTGTTCAGAGTAGTAATTCAATTAGCCAAGAGCTATGGAGAAAGAGGAGAGCTCCTTTTTCAATGGCAGGTAGAAGAGTATTTTGGGGAGAGTTGCAAAGGTGTTTTTATAGCCTTGCGGTGTGTTGGAAACTGCAAATGCGGTTGGCTGATCAGATGAAACAAAGCAGATCCTGAAGGAAGTAATTAGAGGACAGCGAGTGAATGGATGAGCATGGGTACCGTGCTGGTCAGCTCATGGCAGGAGGCCATTTTAGGGTATCGGGAAAGTTCACTTTATAAAATGTCTTTGAACATAAAAGTCACCTTGGATGCTCCAGGTATGATAACCAGTTTGTTTAATATGAAGAACTTTAGACATTTATTAAAATATCCATGGGCCAAATCTTAGCTTTATAACAGATCCAGCTAACTTACTGAACTCATGAAGATGTATCAGTTTTTCTTCTTATAGATCAGAAGCCATTGTGGTTTTTAGCATGTCCAAATTCTGTTACATTGGACTTTTTGGGGTCATTTACACAGAAATTAGGTGTGTTAATGCTTTAATGAAGTCTGACTTGTGTGTATTGCATTAAGGCTGTTGGAACATAATTTGTGAAATATTTTTCAACTATCAAGAGAAAAGCGTAATTTAAGAACGCACTTTTCAAGGGTTCTTCTAATCCCTAGTCTTGATGGTGAAAGCATAACTTATTATTATAATTGGGTTAAGACAGTTTTTGAGAAATGTAATTTCATATGATTAAGTCATTTTAGGCCCAGCATTTAAGTTAGCTTTTCTGTAGATGCTAATAAATTTCTGATAACAAAGGAATCTGGGTTTAAATAAACCCAAAGAAACTAAATAATAATAGCTTTTCTGTAGATGCTAATAAATTTCTGATAACAAAGGAATCTGGGTTCAAATAAACCCAAAGAAACTAAATAATAATATATTGTGTGCATTATGTATTAAATTGTAAGGCCAGACTCATAATAGTTCAAAACCTACAGGTTTGTTTTTTTTGTTTTTGTTTTTTGTGTTTTGTAGATGATTCGGAAAGGTGTATTTAAAGATCAGCATTTTGATCAAAATCTCAACTTCATGTACATAGAAGTTGATAAAGTAACAGAGAGGGTAAGTCTATTTCCAGTGTGCTATGTTTAATGGTTATTTCATTGTTGTGATGTGAATCTCCCCCACCACCACCACCACCAGAGATTGAACTCAGGACCTTGCGCTTCTAAGGCAGGCGCAGTGCCACTGAGCTAAATCCCCCGGCCAAGTGTTTGTTTTATTGTTAATGAATTGAGTATCAGGTGGTACACAGACCTATGAATTTTTTTTTTTTTTAAACAACATGATTCCTTTTTCTGACACTCATTCTCCAGTTCAAAATATATCAGATTATGAAAAAGACGAGGGGCATTTAAATGTTTGTTTTATGTGAGGTCATATTTAGGCCCTCACCACTCCTCCTTGGACCTTTATTTATTTATTTATTTATTTTGAGGTAGGGTCTCACTATGTAGTTCAGGCTGCTCTGGAACTCACTGTGTAGCCAAGGCTGATCTCGAACTTGCAGAGATCCTCCTGCCTCAGCCTCCCAAGTGCTGGGATTACAGGCGTGGTAGTGCACGCCTGGCCTGGGACATATTCTTGTGTTTTTTGTTTTGTTCTGTTTCTGGACCATATTCTTAATCTGGCTTCCAGTCCAGCTTCTGTACAGCTGCCAGGGTGATTGTTGTGCAAGCAATCTGATCGCATGTCTCTCTTGGTTTTGAATCCCTGCTTGTTACCTGTGAAACAGTATTCGAGTTCCTCAAGACAAACAAATATGACATAAACTCTGCCTTCTACAGCTGTCTCCCTCCTCCCAACCCTTCCACACTTGGCCAAGGGGGACCTCTAGGTTGGAGTAACGCTTTCCTTATTTTTGCCCCATTATGCCATGTCTCCCTGGCTTTGTCAGAGTGCTGAATAATAACCCTTCGGGGTACCGATGTGTTTGTGGTGTCATAGTAGGGGTAGGGAAAGTAGTTGAGGCAGTAAAGGCTTACTGTTTTCATTGCTAACATGGGGACCTTTCCATTTCATTGATTGCTTCTTGCAAAGATGTGGAGGATAGAAACATGTAAAAATTTTAAAAGAGTTATTAGTGAACATACTCTTGTGTATTAATATTTTTGGTACACAGAACAGTTTGATAAGTTATATACGTTTAGTAACTTATTTAGAGATATACATTGTAAAAATTATTTTTAGGAGAAAGTTACTGTCATGAGCACCATTAATCCAACTAAGGACCTATTGGCTGACTTGATTGGGTGCCAGCGACTTCCTGAAGACCAACGTAAAAAAGTACACCAGCTAAAGGACTTGTTGGACCAGATCCTAATGTTGGACCCAGCTAAACGAATTAGCATCAACCAGGCCCTACAGCATGCATTCATCCAGGAAAAAATTTAAACGAGATGAAGAAACTCCAAGGGTTTGAGTAATTAAATACAAAGACTGAAGAAATTTCACAGCAGTTTATTATTAATGTATATAAACTTATAAATATTTCTCCAGCAAATTTGAGGAAGCATGATATATTTGAATTAACACCGAGGGTGATAATTTCTTTTAGAAATGTTAGTTAATCTGTTTTGTGTCTTATGTGAAGTTTCACTGTAGAACTGTTTTAATTGCCAAGACTGCACAGAATTACAGTGCTAATGTATATGGTTGCAGTTCACATAAAAGACAAAAACATCTGTTTCAAAATGAGTAGTGATACCGGGTGGTTGATTCACTTTTAGCAGACTTGGCTTCATTTTGGTCTTCGGATGAAATGGCCAGCATAAATGCTGTTTATATTCACATTTCCTAGGTGTGTGTGTGCAGGCCACAGCAGCATGCCCTGGGTGTAGTCAGAGCCTGCCTGCAGGGATGTCTCCTCTTTTACAGCAGGGTGTGTACAACATTCAGTACACTGAAGGTAAGCCTCCATCAACATCACCGGTGTTATAAGATGTTATTTTACTGGAGTCATTGACAAATGAGGGACATTAGCTTTGTGGCAGAATTCCCTGCATGTGTGATAACTGATCTTGTTTTATTTTTTGGAATCGCAACTGTGGCATAGTTACAATTTCTGTTCTGTTCATCACATTTAAAATTTGAAAAGTGCGCGCTTGATGGATAGAGCGCCTTCAGTGTACTGTTTCTTATTAACTTTACTTTTTTAAATCAACTTGCTATAGACTTTATATACATTTTGTTAAATACAGTTCCTAGTGACATAGAAACAATGCATAGTTTTCATTTACTAATTACGAATGTTGAGGCCTAATTCTGAAAGTCCTCATATTTAAAGGTTAGACAACATAATGAAATTTTTAACTATTTGTATGTCATTTTGAAAGTGTACTGCTTTATGGTAACAATGTTTTTCATTTGTTCATTGTTTTCATTATTTGTGATCATGTTGTCTTTCAATACAGGCATAAACCTTCCACTCTTGAACAAAGCAGCTGCTTTTTAAAAGCGGTAATTGCTTCTTTACCTTTTATTTCTTTTGTAAATGAAGCTTTTCTTTAAGAATGTGACCTTAAAGTGTTGTCTATTGCATAAAACAGTTGACACTCACTTACTGTAAAGTGAAGATTGTTCTACTGCATGTGAAGTGGACCATGCAGATTTCTGTATGTTCTCAGTATGCATCACTAGATAATAAAGTCTTTTGTGAACAAGGCATTTGTAGCCATTTTTAAAAGTTTTTGTCTTCAGTTCTGGTAAGTCAGGTAAATCATAGTTAAAAGAAACCTTTTTTCCTGAAAGTTCATATTGATAGTATTATTTAAGATGTAAGTAGCGAGAAGTTGATTGTTTTTATAGTATTTAGGGTGCTAATTATTTCATCCAGAAAACCCTACAATTATTGTCAGCTTTCAGTGTAGTCAGAATATTCCTATAGGTTATGGAATATAATTCGGGATTTAACTAATGTTTCTGCTATTTTCTCACTTTTCCTTTTGATGGTGCGGAAAGAGAAAAAGGAAAACGGGGCACAGGCCATTCACCGCCTTCTCCAAGGGGTCTGATTTGCTGAGACACCAGCTTCACCTTCTTAACAAGGTTATTTCTGACAGCATGTGTAGATAAACATTTAGCCACAGTTTAAAACAGAGTCATGTAACTCAACTTGGTTTTGCGACAGAGGAATTCCTATTTTTAACATGGTAGAAGAGAATTTCTGAAAGTATATGTAATCTTTCCTGTTTGGGGGTAATTAGTGTCTTTCCCAGAGGAAGAATCCGATTTAAGGGGCTTAAATAATATTTTTAAATTGTAAATGGGATTTTTTTATTCACCCAGGCACCTAATTACAACAAGCATGCACATTTTGGTGCATTCAAGAATGGAAAATCAATAGCAGCATTCTCCTGGTGGGCTTTGCTCCATTTAAAGACATGACATGAACTGCACAGCCAGGAAGGTGATAGATGATCTAATAAGCCAGCCCGAACCCACACCCCGCCTCTTCACGGTTTAGACTTAATAAGTAAAGGTGATTTGTCCTCATCTGCAGGTAGAGTGAAGCCTTTTAAACAAGGCATCACAGGTGCAGCTTTTCTGCCTTAATGGTATGGACATTGATTTTCCCACCATTATTTATTTTGAAATAATGCTTGAAATATGCTGCATATTTGAGTCTTTAGTAGTTATTTACACTGGAGAAAGAGTTTAACATTTTGATGCTTCTGGTGATTTTCATGGCTTCCTTTTATGTAACTGTTTTAATAAGTAAGTTAACTTCCACTAGAAACAGTTCATCATGTACCTTCAAGATTATTACCTATTCTTTAAAAAACAAAGTTGCTTGTTACTTGTTCTTTGTGTTTTAGGTGCAGCTCAGTGGAAGATGATGACAACCAGAAGACATGAGCTAAGGTTTCTGTCCTATAAAAGATTAAAAAAAAAAAAGTTTTCCTTTTAGTTTTTGTCTTGGTTTTTTTAGTTTTCAGCATTATAATTTGGATTTCATTAGTGTTTGGTATTTATAGTAGTAGTGCTAATTGTGGTGTTCATCTGTAAAGTGCTTGTTTTATCATACTACTTGACTCCTTCCTCTCCCCATCCTCTAAGATAAAAATAGCAGCTAATTTAGTGATATAAAAGACTTGGGTGGAAAGGTCCCACATTGCATGTGACCGTCAAAATTGAATCCTGAAGATTGTTAGAATAGCAACTGCTAGTGTAACATACCTCTCAGTGTATTCTTGAGCTGCAGGCAGATGCACAAAGTGTAGAAACTGGCATTTTAAGAAGACTGTTCACCTCCTTTAATACCTGTTCTCCGACTTACCCTTTAGTAACCTCATGTCAGCAGGTATTCTAGTCACGGTCTGAAAATAGACAAAATACTCAGAGCTGTAGCCAGTTTTTCTTACAGAAAATGAGAAAGGCAATATGTTTTATTACCAAATTTAGCTTTCCTAAATTTATCTATTTGGAGAGAACCCTATAAACACTTATATACATAAACATTTTATTTGAACTTGTAATTTTACTGAGGCAGAAATGTGCATCTCTTAAAGATATGTTAGATTGAGATCATTTAGTGAATGGTCCTACTTAATAAATGTGCATGCATATTTCTTTCGTGAAGTTTTGGCTTTTGTATACTTTATGGAAAAAATGATTATCAAGTGATTGTGAGACTTGAGGTTTCCAAAAAGCCTTAAGCATGACTCTCAAAGATGTCATAGTTCTTTCTAGAACTGGGGGCCAACTACAGAGTGCACATAGTGTAGACTGTCTTTGGGAACACTGTTCTCAAAGGTCATCAGAAATTAGTGTGTTTGGGGTTCGAGCAAGGGTAGCATCATAAACGAGGCCCTGTATTTGTATTCCCCCTTAGGCCCTTATTCGCAGTACCCTCTTCATTCTCCAGTGGCTATCTCATTTCACTCTACTTTCTCAAATTATTTTATGTTTTAAAATAATGTAGGTTTTATATTACCGTTGTATTTACTACTTTTTTTCCTAACAAAAATGAATACTCAGGACATTCTTACAAAATATGTAATGATTTATAGTATGTGGTAGGGGAGAAAAATACCATATCTCAGATTCTCATTCTTCCAGTTCTGTTTATTTGTACTTTATCGTTTGTCCATAGAACTCTTAACTTGTAGGTTGAAGTAAAATGTCAGAAATGGAAATAGGAATCACACAGAACCAAATTATAATTTTAAGGTAATAAGCAGTTAGGGAGTCTCCATGTTAATGTTAGCAATAGGAAAGCAGTGGGATAGTTAGAGATGCAGTTTCATGTCTTTAATGCAGTGGCATCATTACAGTTGTGCTCCATACGTATGTTTTCAGTGGTGCCTAGTCCAGCATACATATATTTGTGAATTTTTACTCCTGCATAGATTGAATGCCCTCCTTATAGAAATGCTTAGAGCAAATTCATTGTTTTTTGCATATCAATGATGTATATTAAATGGGCTTTAAAATGTTTTCCAGTTATGTTGAGGTGTCTTTGTGGCATCCTTAATTTTTCTTCTCCTTCTATATATAGGGTAAGGGATGTTCTTCTGAAGAACCTTTCCATTTAGTGATCAAGATGCAGAAGCTGATCTCTGAAAATACTCAGTGTGTGCCCTAATTGTTCACATTACCGCTTCCAGTTGTAAATTGCATTTTAGCAGCACGTTTTCCCAGTGGACTCTTGGGAAACAATAAAATATGCCTCATGATACCATACTGTCTGCTGATCTTTTTCTTCTTTTTTTTTTTTTCCTTGAGTTTGGCATTTTTACCTTTTGGTTTAAAGTTATAAATGCTGTTTCTTGCCTGGTGTCGCTTAGCTGCTGTCTCACTAACCACAGGCAGAGGTGCCTGTGCTCAAATACAGGTAAGGGCTGGTGGGTTACCATTTGATCTGAACCCTGTGAATTCTCAGAGGACTGGTGTGTGCTTGTGGATCTTAGTGATGGGGAGATTTCCCAGACTGCCCTTTCAGGGAACCCGCAGCCTGTGGAATATGGTTTTCCTCGCAAGCAGCCTGTTTTGAAAGCACTGAGTGCAGACCGAAGGGTGTGTTGTGTTGCCCCTCTGGTTTTCCTGGCAGTAAAGACAAGGAATGGGCTGGCTCCCTTTTATGTAACAGTGTGACTAAGTTGATTCACTACCCAACACACACTGGGCTTTCTACCCTCAATCTGCCTGCTCTTTGTTTGCTTCTTTTAAGCACATGTTTTCAGCATTTAAAACCTGAGTTAAAGACCGGGACAGAGAAGTGCAGCCCCAGTGTACAAAGCAGGACTCGGAGTGCAGCTGTGTAGGAGGCCCTTCCCCAGGTGGAACCAACCACTGCCAAGTGGCACCGCAGCAGTGGCTCCCATTGGCCCTGTAAATGTCCTGTTGTGATCCCTGCCTGGGCTGCTGGGCTGTGATATCTCCCTCCCGTGGCCCATGAAGCCCTTGCCTCTGGTCCAGTAGAGAAGAGCGAGCAGGTCGGGCAGGTAGAGGTGCAGTACTGTGTAGTGGAAGCCCTCACATGCCCTCTCGGTAAGGTCTAGTAGGGAGCTAAGGAATCTGAATAATGGAAAGCTAAGCATGGGTATTTAGGAGCAACTCAAATCTAAATTTTCTTGAACAGGGTTGCCAAGTGTTTCTCAAAAGTAATTGTAGAAGTTGGCTTCCAACTGGTCTGAAAAATAGCCAGCAGTTGTTCTCTCGTTCCCAGTTAACCCCCAGCGGTGCGCCCCCCTTTGCCCAGTTCGCATGTTTCGTGTGAATTGCCTGTCTGAACCAGGCCTTTCCCTCCAGTGCTTGGGGTAAGCCAGATGGCTGCACATCCGTTTCCCACAAACTTGCCCCTTCTCGTCTCATTTTAGGAGCTCCCTTACAATAGTAGTCCTGGCAACTGTATTTTTACTAAATAATCCTCGCTTACAAATTAATGCCTTTGCCCTGTAATTGAAAATGGCAGTGCATCTGGTATGTTTCTGATATATTAAAAGCAGTCTGGGGCCATGGTTGAAAACCATCTGTCTGCTAGGAGTTTGGGTGGCTTCCTGTTCAGGTTTACTAACAACCTAGAGAAAGTAGCTTGGTTATGTTTCCAGTAAGAAGCTTGCCTTACGAACATCGTTTCCACCTGTTTCTTCTATACTTCCATCTGATGTGGTGATCCAGCGGTAGGTTCACTTACCAGAGAAGCCCAGACCCAGTTTCTGCACATTCACATGGACCGTAGCCTATCGTGCAGGGATACGTGAGGTGGCCTGTTAGGAGTTGTCCTTACTCTGCTGACAGTTAATGCGGTGCCGGTGCTGCCCCTCCTGTGTCATTCCCATTTCCCTGTTGGGGTTTTTGAATATCTGCTGTATGTCAGGCACTTTTCACCCACAGTCACCTAATCCTCCTGTGATGACATGGGAAAAAGAATTCCACCCACTGTATCCAGCGAGTGAAGCAGAGTTAAGGAAATGATCTTCAGTGTTTGAGTGGTTCATAAAGAGCTGGGTTCAAATTCAGACAGTGCTTATCACCACTGACAACATAATCCTAGTGATGGAAAAGTCCACCTGCCAATCAGAGTACTGCTCACCAAGCAAGATCTGGTGTGAGCATGCCCCTTCCTGGAGTTGGGAATAAAATTCAGGTAAGTAAAGGGAAGTAGACGTGATTAGAAAGGGCTGACCGAAAACAGTTCTGGACTCAAGGTTCTAGGGAATTGTGGGAATGAGAAAGATGATTGACAGAAACCAACGCAGGTCAGTGCTTTGGAATTGAGTGAAAATGCAAGTCCAGTCCTGCAGTCTATTGTGTTGACACAATAGAAAATTCTTTTGAAGTTAAACTGAAAGCTGAGTATACTTCCTGTGACCCCTGCTTCTAAGAAAACTCTTACTCTTTCACTAAAAGTAAAAAGGAAACAAGCTACATTTGCTCTCTTCAACATTTATTTGAATTACCCTTTAGTACTACACACCAGTCCCGAACTCTTACTCCATCTCATCTGGGAGGGTGACACAAAAATAGTCACTGTCGGGATGGTGAGTGGGGAGAGGCCTTTGGTCCCTTTGGGTAATGTCTGTGTGATTTGAATTCACCGATCATCCACTCAAAACCAAAGCACATATACCCCAAAATATCCAAACCTTTGATTTGTTAAATTCAGTCTGCATTTTTCAAAGAGTGAGCAAAGACCCCGCCCCCTGCACGTTAAAATCGTTTGTATTTTCGTTTCTCCCAAAAGTTCTGTTTCAGTAAGCCTGACAAATTAGGACTCATGTTTTTGTTTCCCTGACTCAGGTGGAATAAAATTTGTGCGATCTTCCCTCTTCCCAGTCAGCAGCCTGGGTTTCAGCTAACCAGGACTGAGGCAGAAATGTACAGCCTTGGGGAAAAACTAGCAGCAGTATGAGGTTTTGCCTGTTCTGGACTGTGCTTACTCAACTCAGTATTACCCTCCGCATTTTAAACTATTAGGTTTGAGTGGAAACAGGTTATTTTATGCCAAAACCTCTAGGGCTCAAAAGAACTGAAGTTTCATTGTAACTGACAGAGGGCCTGAGAAAAAGAATTTGAGAGGGTCTAAAGGATCTTGTATATTCATTTGTGGAAACAGCAATTTCTTTAAATTTTTAGGGGACAAGAAAATGTCCAAAGCTCAGGGTGGCAGATGGAGAGGGAGGGACTGAAGGGATCACTGACCAAATTTACTTGAACCTTACATGACCGTATCTTTGAACATAATGAAACAGCAGTAAATCAGGTAATACCATTTATTGACAATGAAATTATACTGACAAAGTCATTTGAATAGTTTGGTTTACTAAGTAAAACATCTCTAAAATGTTAAGTCCAAAAGGTGATCAGATAGGTCAGTGTAGAAGCCCGTTACAAGTACTGCAGCAGTGATTCAAATCATGCCAAGCAGTGACGTGTGTGGTTTTCATCTTCTCTATCTCAGAATGAGCCACATTTTAGCCAGGCTTCCAATGGATCTGCTCGCAATCCAGTGTGAGTTGAGTTATTTTTGGTCAATGAATGAGTACTTAGCCTTACCTATGAAGGAAGGTGACAAATAGTTTAGCTTCTGGATATAGAATGGCCTTTTCAGTAGTATAGTTCTTTGGTGGAGTTTCTTTCTGGCTCTTGGAGTCTTAGTTTCTTCCTTGTGATTTTCAGGAAAAGACAAGGCCACAGATGAAACTGGTATCAGAGACCTTGGTGGCAGAGCTCGTCTTGAGACCATTTTAACCAGTGACTGACTTGTTTGGGAGGTACTAGGCTTGGGTGAGAGTTCTTGACGTGAGTCTAAGATGGGACTTTGGGGGTTCTTGGTATCATAAGTTGCGGTCAGCTGTGTGTGCAGTTTTAGAGCTGGTGTTTTGGGGTTCCACTTATATTTGCTGGAATTGCTCCAATGCCATTTTGAAGCGTTTTGTTCAAGCTTGCCGGAACCAGAATTGGGTTTTGCCTTTTCTCGACTTTTATCTACACATGATGCCTGAAGACTCAAAGAGTCAGGAAGCTTTGGCTGTCTCACTTTTGATACAGCTTTGGAGGAAGAGGGTGGTTCAGAAACAGCTGAAGCACAGGACAGCATTTGCAGTCGCGGCCTCTCTTTCTGTATAGTCGTATGCTGTAATCTTTCCAGTTCCAGCAAACGAGTGATCAGGTGTTCGGTGGAGCTGTCTGGAGGTTCCGCTGTGGCTTTCCAGTTTTCACATTTGGAGAGGGCCAATTTGTGCAAGTCCAGAGTATCAAAGGGAGGGGGAAGAAAATCAGGATACGGAAATGTTTCGGTGGGTTCCTCAGTAAAAGATTCCTCAATGTTGTCTATTTTTTCTGGCTTTAAATTCATGTCCATCTTAAAATAGCTGAGCAAGGTATCATTTGTCTTCTCGTTCTCTGATAAATCACTTTCGTCTGTTAAATTTTCTCCCACACTGCTGTTTCCATATCTCAGATTACACACTGGAGCAGGTAAAGTTTCTGCGTTGTTGTTTTCTGTGGTGGAACATGAATTAATTTGAAGCTTGTTTCTGCCCTTAAAGAAGTCTCCGTCAGCGGAGGGCCAGCAGAGACTGGGCATATGCAGGGCGGCATGAGAACCCACTTGTGTATCGGCTGGGGTGCTGGCTAAAGAGCGGGTCAGAGTGCAGGGCTGTGTGGAGCTACTGGTTCCACTCGAGCCACTTTCCACTGAGGATTTTTTTAATGCCCTTTAAAAAATAATGCAATTGATGAATGGTTTGTAGACTAGAATTAAGGTGCTAGTCAATGATATGAATGAGTACACTATCAAAGTTGGTTAATGGACATGTTAAATTCCAAATATGCTAAATTACATACAACTATATACATTCGGGCATAGATTAAAATGTTAATTGGGATCCTTTGCACAAACAACTCACTAGATTATGAGCCTCAAAACAGCTAACTGACTATGAATAACTACCAGGGCAAAAGCGGCTGCTACTGTATCCCTTTGCTTATACTGTACAGGAAATTAGGGAGTCTGAAAACGAGGCCATCCACCTCAAGCCGAGATTCAGTGAAATGCCAATTGACCCAGAATTAGACAAAAGGAAACTTTGAAAGAATGTAATTAGGTTACTTACCCAAGGTTTCTCTGTTAACTACTTTGCTTTCTCAAAATTATTTTAAGGAAGGTAGTAAACCACATCTGGCAAACAATCCCAGACTGAGCCTCTGGTAGTTTTCCTCTAATGGTGATCTTTTATTTTAGGAGTAGTACATGTAAGTATTATATTTAAATAATACTGACATATACACAAATTATATTGAGAAATGCAAAAAAGCCAGCTCATAGATCAGTGAGTTTCTAGTTGTTTTTAAGATAACTAGAAAGTAAAAGATTTGGTGCATTTAATTGCATAAAGTTTCAGTATCTCTTCTTTTAAGGCCACCTTATAGTAAAGATAAGGAAATTGAGGGTTTTGAAAAATACTTTCATTTTTACAGAAAGTGATATATTCATTTAGCTAAATACTGCAGACATTGCTTTGCTTTTGGACAGTCACAGGAAAAACGCTAAATCCACAATTTTTAAGAGACATGGCCCATGAGGAAGAGTCAAGAGCGTGAAATCCACGGGCTGAGGCCCAGGTTTGAACGACTCTGCCACAGCTCAGCCAGCAAACTAGAAATGATATCCACTCGGGTAGTCTGCGGGGCAGGCCAGTGCCGTGTGCGTGCACTTGGCGAGATTCTCAGCGCTGCATGGAAGTCAGCATTGCTATTACTCTTGCTGATCGTGTGTTGAAGAGAACATTTTTAGTAAGATATTTCGCCGATACCAGACTTCCATGTCTGCACCATGATGGAGCCTCCTCCCCAGGATTAACAGTGAATTCCTTTCAGACACACAGTTCTGCTTAGCCCTCACGGTAACCACAAGAGATGGGCTCTTGTATTTTCCACCTCCTACAGATCAGGACACTGAGGTACGGAGTGGCTGAGGTCAAAAATCTAGTAAGTGGTGAAGCTGGGACTTGAACTAGGTAGTGACAGCTCACAGCTGTGATCCCAACCACTGCCTTTTCCTGCCTCGATTGATGCTCACTGCTTCCCTCCTGTGACAGAATTCTTTTGACCTCTTTCCTTGAAATCCTTGTTCCCAGCTGAGTTCCTTCTCATAAAAGCAGGTTTTCCTATCTCCACCAGTACCAATACCTGCTTAGGACTTGGCTCACCACAATTCCCTTTAGCACTTCTAAATTTGAAGTGCTGAATTTCAACCTAAGGGGAGCTTTATTCCGGGCCTTGTGGAAGTAAAATCCTCCCACCAGGAGACAGGTGCTAGCAAGTGAACCACACTGTTGTTACAACTGGATAAAGAGAGGAACAGAGGCTGTCCATCTATCAGCACACTAAAAGTGACACAGCACAGTGCTCAGTAAAGGGAAATTTCTGAGTACCACTAACTTGCATTTTCAAACAGTAGCTGGGCTGGGAATTTAGCACAGTGGTGCTGCCGCTGCCTGCCTTCCAAGTGCAAGGACCTGAGTTTGATCCCCAGTACCCTCCCCACCGCACCCCAAAAAGAGAATATAGAACAGTCTAGCTGGTTCTAATATACAATTAAAATTTAAGAACCAAAAAATAAGACTCCAACCCCAGTGAAGTTTTGAGAAGTCATATACACTGGTAACCATGAGCATAAACCAAGCTATATTTGCATCCCAGTTCTACATCTACTGTGAGACTTTGGGCAAGTTACTTAATCGTCACCACATCATGGAGTCCTCATCTGTAAAACAGGGTTACTGACAACCATACTTACATTGTAAGATTGGCGAGAGAGTTAAATGTGTTCACACATTTAAGGAATTAAAATAGTTCCTGCACATGAAATAGTACTTTCCTATTAAATTATGTGATATGAAAAACACTGAAAGTTTAAGAAAATTATTGCAGTAAAAGACACATTGCGTTCATCTGCCTCAGAGACACCCCTCTCCTCTAACACACCCATCTATCCCTTTATTCTTGCCACTTTCTGCAGTGGTTCTAGAAGTCCTATTTCATGTGTATCTTTAATTGCATGGTCCTCAGGGTCCTGAATTGATTCAAAACATTTACTTTTCGCGGTCATCTTGACTTCGGGGAAGCATCAGAAGTCGCATGGTGCCAGGTCTATTCAATAAAGCGGATAGGACACACTCTTGTGGTCATGAGTCTGCCTTTCTGCTGGACGGCACTGGGTAGCAACATTCACTGTATTTTCGCTCACACCTTATAAACACATGAAAGAGAATTTCAAGAACTGCTTCACAGCCGTGCGTGGTGGTGCACGCCTGTAATCCCAGCATTCAGGAAGCTGAGGCAGGAGGATCGCTGTGAGTTCGAGACCAGCCTGGGCTACATAGTGAGTTCCTGGTCAGTCTCAACTACACAGTGAGACCCTGTCTCAAAAAAGAACTTAAGAAAGTGGCAAGAATGACGAGGTGTGTTTGACGCAAGGGCAGATGTTCTGAAGGGGATCGATGAGATGACACTGTGTCTTTTATTATAATAACTTTTTAAATCTTTAAACATTCCATGTTCCTTTTCCTTTCAACAAGAAGTAGAACCCCCTGAGCTTCCCTTGTGAGGGGTCAACTCTTCCCTCCTACCCAAACACGGGCTATCTAGTATCCGCAGCCACTTGAGGTTTTAAAAAAGGGTGCGTTTGCATACTTTCCCACTATTCACACACAACACTTTCTATCTTGTGGTTATTTTTGGTCCTTGTATTTCAAGTCATTAACTCACCTACATTGAGCTTTATTTCAATAATTTAGAGAATTACAAAAAAAAAAAACAACTTCTCACCTGGTCTCCATGCTGCTTTCATTGAAAGGGTAACTCCATAACTGGAATATCTCTTGTTCACTATTCTAATAACAGAAAAACCATGAACAGTGTTTCAGGGGCTGTGAATGTTTTCAAGAAGACAATACTTTCAGATCAAGGACGGGGAGCTCACCTACCTGTGCTCCCCTGGGAGCGTGCACTGACACACTCAGTTCTAGCATCAGCTGCACCACTGGGATCTCCATGTGGTTCTGTAAAGCAGCAGAAGGCTTTTAAATACGTCTCTGTCCCCTACTCATGTTCTAAGAATGTATAGTTCTTGTCCTAGCCAAGGAGAGTAAAATCCAGGGTACTCTCCCCTTAGGCATTTAGAAATAATTTTTAATGATTTCAGCAGAAATTAACATATTCTTGTTAATACGAAACACCATTAACCATGAGCCTTAGATAGGTATCATTAAGATTACCTTAATTTGGGGGCCAGGGACTTAGCTCAGTGGCACCGCACCTGCCTCATAAGTGCAAGGTCCTGAGTTCAATCCCCAGTACTAGGAAAAGATTACCTTTATTTTATAGTTGTGTTTAATATTTTGATCAAAATGGTATGTGAAAACATTAACTTTATACTTCTTCAAAACAGGATAGTGACCATTTCACCTGCTTCAAGATATCTTAAGGGCTGAGGCCACTTCCCTTTGGGCAACAAAACACTGTATTTACTACAGTGTCACTTTTCAATTATAGTATTGTTCTGTTCTGTGGAAAAATAATGTAGCAAAATAAACTTGTAGCCTTGTCGAATACTGAAGGCTATGATTTGATGAACTCTACAGAAATATAATTTTAAGTTTGCAGAAGAAAAAAAAATTTAAAGAACCTGTATGTAATTTTCAAACAGTAGATTCTGTGACTTAAAGCCCAGTATCCTTACCTTTGCAATTTTGCCTGAAAGAATGTGAATAAAAAAATGATGATTAATAGTAACACAAAGCAGTTATTATTTAAAACAAACCCCTTTAGTATGAGTCGTTGTTGCAGCAGAAGTACACACATGCAGGACTTCTTACCACCTGCCGTGTTATTCCTTCCAGGTGGGAGGTTATTTTCAGGAGCAGGGACTTCTGAATCCAAATTCCAGTGAGATAAATTCTAAAACAATATTGTTTTAGGATAAACTTATAACATGAAAAAAATTTAAAAGCTCAAACACAATTTTACATGTTCTTTCGGTAAATTAAGATAAAATGCACAAAACTTAATGACCCCCCTTGTCCTCCTGCAGAGACACAACCAGCTTTTGGAGGAACCTGCAGTTTCTTTGTAACAAACCATCACCAGCACCGTAACCCCTGTCACTCAGGAACTGGAAAGGCTTTCACAGCAACTTGTTTCCATTCTCATTTTTTGTTAAAGATAAAGACACACAGGTTTTCAAAAATTGATTGGAAAATGTACCCAGATGTCCTGTTCGGTGTGTCTCTGGGACCCAGAGGCACAGTCCTCAGGGTTTCTGTCCCTGAGGACCCGATCTAAAGCCCTACACAATCTTTCCAACAACCAAGGAAAACTCTAATCCTTCCATTATACTCAGCGCTGTCCAGCCTGTTACTCATCCTGGATTTCAGATGTTGAGAAATGTTCAGGAAATAGTCAAAAAGAAGCTTAAAAGAAAAGGGAGAGGTACGAATAAACACCGAGCATTTCTGTTCCGTGCTGTGGGGTATGCTTGTAACACTTTAGTCTGGAAGAGACAGCGATAAGGTGATTTGTTTGTAAGATAGTAATTTTTTAGGAATTGAACTTGATTATTATTTTTTATCTCAAAAGAGAACAAACCTTTCTGAGCAAGTGTAGTGTTGGGTATTATTGGGCAGCATCTCTACACTGAGGCAGGATGGGGAGAAATAAGCTTCCACATGGCAGGAGGATTTCATTTATCCCCGGAGAGGAATGATGTTTGGATGCGGGAAAGGAGGCTGCCAATTGTCTTCCTCTGGAGGTTGTGATAAATCAGATGCATAATTTTCTGCTCTCTGGGATGATATAAATGAGGCCTAATCTCCACGTGAGAATCACCCCATTCTCACCCTGAGAACTTTTCAAAAATAATAGCTGAGAATGAGGCTCGGAGGTGGTGGCTTGCTTAGCACCTGGGGCCCTCTGCTCCCAGCACTTAAGAAAAAAAAGGAAAACTCTGCAGGTTCTGATTCCCTGTGGATGTCAAGTATCTTTCAGTTTTGTGATCCTGGGACACTAGTGTGAGAAATGTACTGTGAGAGAAATGTCTTTGTATTAAAGCAGGAAAGGGAAGGTGATAAGACTGCTATTTGCACAGGGAAGGTAACACAAGCACCTGTGAGGAAGGAGGGCCAGGCAAAGAGGAAGTTGGCTAGTTTGCAAATTTCCCAAGGGCTAGGAATTTTTATTTTTTGGTATCTCATCTACTTTATCAAAATTTTTCACAACGTACATCTAAGAAAATAAAAAACGTGAGCATTTCCCGGTTAGTTGGTATCTTTTACAAAATCCAGTTGCAATTAGCAATGTTTTGAGATCTGGAGGGAAGCCAACTAACTCCTTTTCTTAAAAGAAATAAAAATTTGGGCCGGGGATTTAGCTCAGCGGTTCGGTGGCCTGCTTTAAGGACCAGAGTTCAATCCCCGGTACCAAAAAAGAAAGAAAAATTCTCCATTTGCTATCCCAAATGTGCCAAGGGGAGAACTCAGTGCAAAATGCCGGGGCCGGTGCAGCGGGGTGAGCCTACCTCCTGAGACCCCCGGGGCGCGCCTCTTCTCCCCATCTCTGCGCAGCTGCTCCTCTGAGTCTCTGCGGTCCTATAAGGGCAACACCGGTGCAGAAGCAGGTGGGAGCACGGCTCCCTTCCACTGGAGGTGAAGGGAGGGACAGAGCTCCCAGGGATCGGATCGATCGCGCTGGCTCTGGGTGACATCTCCAGCAAAGGGGTGGGGAGGGGAGAAAGGAAGGAAAGAAGTGAGGAAGCGAAAGAAGGGGGAAAGCAGGAAGGAAGGAAAGAGTAGGAAAGGCAGAAGGAAGGAAGGAAACAAGGAACAAGAAGAAAGGGGGGAGAAAGAAAGAAGAAAGGGAAGGCAGGAAAGTGGGCTCGAGGTTTGGGAAGCAGGAGGCGGGGTGAAATGGGAAGGTCGGCCCCAAGGTGAATCAGGCCAGCAAAGGCCCGGACCAAAGCAATTGACTGAGACGAGGAAGCTAAAGAGCAGAGATGCTGAGTAAGAAAATGAAACACATTGGAAAAGATATGGCGAATCGTCTGGAACTCATAGAAAAGGGCCAGGATGTCTGCTTTTCACCATTAACAACCAAAAAGTCTCCACCTGAAGGCAGGGTTGATCTCAAGCACAAACCAGAGACACCCTCCGCCCCCACCCGTGAGTCAGCCAGTGTCATCCACACTGGACCAGCCTGGAGTCCACAACCCCCGCCGCTGGCTAAGGTAACAATAATGGAGAACTCTAAGATTTTAAACCAAGCGGTCTGAAAAGACTCAAAGGAAAGCCACTGAGGCGTCAGTATGTTCGCTAATCATTTATAATCGTTTTATTGTCTCCTTGAGGGACAGGTATATTTTGAAGAAATGGGAGGTATAAATATAGTTCAGAAAATTCGTGAACCCTGACGTATTAAAAGAAGGATTGAAAAATGCAAGAGGAAGCCAGGCATGGTGGCTCGTGCCTGTAATTCCAGTACTCTGGGGGCTGAAGCAGGAGGATCTCAAATTCATGGCCAGCCTGGGCGATTTAGTGAATTAGGGTGAACCTGTTGCCAAATTTTTTTATAAAAACTGCAGGAGGATGGAGGCCTTTGAGTAGGGGTTCAGCCATGCCACCGCCCCCCCGCCCCATTCAGGCCTCTGTCCAGAAAAGGCGGCCACACTTGGCAGGCCCTGCAGACAGGCCACTGTGGGTGCGTTAAGGACGTCAGGGTAGGGGGTCTGCTCCCAGGCCGAGGCTGGGCTCCATGAGGACCCTGGCCAGGGACAGCCTGCGGTGCACTCAGTCACCAGGCTGGGCCTCGCTTACCCTGGGCGCCTGCCCACGTGTCCTCCCGGGCCCTCTCTGAGGGGGAGCTGAAGGGCAGCAGCCGGCGGCCGGCTGGGCTGCTGATTCGCGTATCCTGTCGCCTGGCAACGCCTCCTGGTCGCCCTGCAACGCCCTGTCTGCTGCCAGGCAACGCCCTAAACTCCATCCCTATTCTGGAGCGCTCCTCCGGGGCTGAGGAGACTGGAGTTCTAGCTATGCCTGTAACGCCTGCTTTAAAGAACACAGTGGAAGAGGCGGCCCCTGCTGAGAGCAAGACTGCCTCGGGTCCCTTCAGAGCAGACATAATTAAAATGACAAAAAGTGGACTTTTTTTCTGTCTAGTCTACACTTAGATTGTGAGAGCCCAATTTTGTACCGCCAAATACATCTCTTGCTATAGCTCTGTGAAATAAGGTGGGGGGGTGAAAAATATATACAATCATTTCCTTTCCCATGACCATCGGACACACACACACAAAAATCAAAGCTAATTATATGAATAAGTAAATGACTACTGAAAGGACAGCCTCAGTACCACAGAATAAATAAATAAATACATCATCACTTCTTTACAATAAAGGATCAGTATTTGAGGAGAAACTTCTGCTGCCCCTCACCAGTGAAACCACTGTGTTCTGGCAGGTTGAACACCAGGCTCTCTAGATTCAAAACTCCAAATACTTCAGTAAGAACCTCAGAGGCAATGCTCCTTCATACCTGAGGGACACAGTCTCTGGCCCCTTTGAGAATATTCTCAGAAATGCACATACAGGTCCACGCCAGATACTGAAGGCATGCCAAAGGTTTCTCGGGTCTTTGTCACCACCCAACCCCGAGCCCACACGTCTGTCTCCTCCCTCTCCGTTTCCTTTCCTCCTCAGGGGTTTCTGCTTCTCCCTCCTGACTATTTCATAACAACCTCGACTCTGTGCTCCTCACAATCCTGTCACCTGTTCCCCGTTTCATTGTCCATCTCCACTCTGTAGAATACAAAACTCTGAGGGCAGGGGCGGTGCCTGTTGGTGCATTAGGTTTTCCCCACACTTCAATGTGGGGCCAAGCCCGTAGCACAAGTGCAGGGAGCAAAGGGAAAGGAACGAAGTCGGCAGGGGTCTCATTTCCAGCTACCTCCTGGGCATCCCTCTGCTACAATGACAAATATGTCTGCTATTTCACAATTGTCCCACTCCTTCAGGACAGATGATATTTTCACTTTCCCTATAATGAAGCTTTTTAAAAACCCTCTCCTTTGAAAAAAATCTTCCTAAAACCTAATAGTAGTTCTAGCTCACAAGTCATTTTACCTGTCTGCTCAGGAAGAGTAAATTACTATGTCCTCCCAGATCCCTATTTTAAGTTATAATGCTTTACTTACAATTCCTTGTTTATATTACAGTAGGGTTATTCACGTACATCCTTTTCAACACCACAAAGAAGTGACTGCCCTTTTTTCTGTCTAGCAGAATGCCTGGCATATAGTAGGTGCTCATTTCTATCTTTTATTTTGCTCTTTATTTAGAATTGGATTTCCCATATAAGAGAAACTATGTGATAGTTTAGCTTCTGAGTCTGATTTATTTCACTAAACACTGTGGTCTCACAGTGCATCTACTTTCCTATAAATGACTCAAGTTCATGGCAGAGTAGGACTCCACTGTGTGTAAACACCACACTTTCTTTATCCAGTCATCTGTTGATGGACATTTAGGCCGCTTCCAAGACTGAGCTATTGTTAGCGTGCTGCTGTAAACTGTTCAGTGATGTCTTCAGCCTTCCTTTCCTTTCCTGTTATTATCCCCATGCCACTGTTCTTCCTTTCTCTGGAGACTTCTGCATGCTTGACAGTGGCTCAGAAATCCTGGCTGTCTTTTCCCATCATCACCAACTGGGCAAGTCCATGGCGGTGTCACAGACTTGGGAACAGTCCCGGACTTGGGAGCCGGGCCCCAGGCCATTTCCCATAAAGCTCAGGTACAGCTTTGGTACCAATGCTCGGCCCGAGAGAACACACCTCTCTTCAAGGCCATGCCCAGGCTTCAGGGTGGTGGCCGCCAGTTTTTCTGAAATTAGAGCTGCACCAGTTTAGCTAACCTACAGCAAAACCATTCTTTCAAAAAAGAAGAATATGGTAGATCCCCTGGGTCTTGTGGCATTTAGCAGGATCTATTAATTACACTGGCGGTGGTCAGTGTGAGTCAGAGGAAAAGAAGGCGAGCTGTGGTCACTTGTTAGGTCTCGTCAGCTCGCCTTGCCACCACCTCCACTTCCGCTCCTATGGGAAAGGTGATAATAGTGCTCGCCAGGTAACCAGTGTGGACAGCACCTGGAGACAGTGCCTTTCCAGTGTCCTGGATTATGCAAGGAAACGAAAGTGGCGGCCTCGCTGGGTCTCTGGTTATTCTGCAAGGAAAGGTGTCCCTTCAGTTGGGCTCCCTCGGTGCCCTCCATGAGTGGACGCTGCCCATGCACCCACCCACCTTCGTTTTTCCCCTAGGATCACCGAGACTGTGGCTGTCCATGAACTACAACAGAAATCTGTTCAGTGCAATTATGTAAACATTTTCAGAAGGTCAGAGCAATATTTTCTAAAATAACAATATGCAGGTTTTTGTTCTCACATAAAATGCTTAACCAGTGGAAAAATTTCAGATCAATTTGTGCTTAAGATATGGTTTAAATTACTCTTTTAGCCGGGGATTTAGCTCAGTGGTTCGGTGGCCTGCCTTGCAAGTGTAGGGACCGGAGTTCAATCCCAGGTACCAAAAAAATAAAAAATAAATAAAAATTACTCTCTTAAATTTTTAATTGTATTCCTAGTAATTTCTGTGTATTTCAGAAGTAACTGAGTCTATTTACCCCAATTGAGGACTCTGCATTCATCTTAAATATCCTAACTTGCTTGTGTTTGCATAATTCTCTCTTTTTTTTTTTCAGTAATGGGGATCGAACTCAGGACCTTCAGCTTGAGGCAGATACAGCGCCACTGAGCTACATCCCCAGCCCTGCACAGTTCTTTTTAAAGAAAGGTAGATAGTACTTCTACTTTGAAGGTTTTATCCTACATTACCTACTATAAAACTTTGTTTTAAAAATTAAACATTATGCTCTCTTAACCATTTTATTTGAAAGGCTACCATTTTGTTGCAAACAAAATCTTGCTTAGAATCTGCTTATTCCTAGAATAATTGTATAGTGATATATATGAACATATTTCCAAAAGGAAGTGAGATAAACACACATCAGGCAATACTGCCCCTGGATATGTTGCTGCTAGTCCTTTTGAATAAACTCTCCATCATATCTTTTCTCCTTTTTTCTGACTTTACCGCTAGACTCAATTCTCTGGGTTTGTCTTGCTTCAGTTGCCTGTACTCTGTAACCTGGGTCTCTTTGGTCTGCTATCACAGACTCACTTTAAGTTTTGGTGTAAGTTTTAGCATCAGAACTTACTTTCTGGGGCCAGGAAGGATGTGGCCGGGATGCTCTCTCTGGTCCTCAGGGCCTCCCTGCCTCAGTGGCGGTGATTCAAGCACTCTCCTGAGAACGCCTCCTTGGAGAAACCTTGAGATGATCTCATCTCTCCAGAGGATGTTACCAGACTCTCTGCCTTCTGGGAACCAGCTGACCCCATCACTGGCACTGTGGCCAGGGGCAAAGGCAAGGAGTTCAGCAGACACAAGAGCCCTCTGGGCATGGGGGAGAGGGAAGAAGGGAGGAAGGAAGGGAAGAAGGTAGGAAGGGAGAAAGGGAGGGAAGGAGGGAGGGATAAAAGATCAGCCTAACTACAAACACAACATAGTCCCTGATCCTGCCGCCGCCGAGCTGTGGGATCAGTTTAGTTAATAAGGACCTGCAGCCCCAGGAGCCTGCTGGGGCCACCCAGCCTCCAAGGACAGCACCCTGGCTTAGGCACACCTGCTCTTGTCTGTTCTTGGGAGAAAATAATAACTGGCTAAAAACATGGTGTTGGTAAAGGTAAATATATTATTGGCCATTGAACAACAGAACTGGAAATGAGAGGAATACACAGCAAGACACAACATGGAAGCACTTGTTCCTTCAAAGGCTCTTGGGACCACAGGCCATGGCCAACGTGGCTTAACCGGAGATGGCAGTGCGACAGTCAGCAGCCACCGACCCTGACAGCTGGCTTCCCATTCAGACAATGCTCTTTCCCACACTGCAGTTAGAAAAAGTGAGTGAGACTGATTCCTGGGAGAAGCCTTACTCATTAAGACATTAAAGAAAAACATTTACCTCCTGGTAGTTTGTTTAAGAATAAAACTTATGGCTGCATAGTATTCCAGTGTGCAATATGCACCACTTTTCTTCACCCACTCGTCCACTGAGGGGCACTGAGGCTGCCTTCACCTCCCAGTTACTGAGAACAGCGCTGCGATACCCATGGGCAACCAGGTGTTTCTTCACATATGGATTCTGTTTCCTCCTGTGTATACCTAGTAGTGGCATTGTGGGGTCTACAGTTCTAGTTTTAATTTTTCGGGGCTCCTCCGTGCTGTTTTCCACACTGGCTGTGCTAGTTTCCACTCCCACCAACCATGCAGGGCTGCCCTGCAGACTTGCCAGCATTTGCCATTTTTTGTCTTCTTGCTAACTTAAATTTAATAATTGTGATCTATTTCTGCTTTCAGCCAGCTGACCTAGACCTTGATCTTGAGTTTCTGTATGGAAACTTCAGACAGCTATAAGCAAGCATGTTACTGGAGGTTATTTAGAGCAATGGTTACAAACAAATGACCGATTTACATACATGGCATATAAAAAACACATTTTAATAGATCACTTCCTTAGCATATGGAATGGCTTAAAAATTTGTTTAAAAGTTCTTCATTCATGAAAACATTCAAATAATGCACTCAACTTTTTTTTTCTTTTGAAGAAAGAAGCCAGGGCATGTCTGTCAACTGCCAAAACATCCTGCTCGCCCAACTCTGTCATTTCTTTTTTCTTTCCCAAAACACCCATATAATTATGAGAATCTTGTGACACGCAAATCAGTTCTTGTTAGTTCTGTAATATTTAAAATATGTCTGTATTCAAAGTCTACCACTGTAACAGTTTTACTTTTGAGTTGGCAAGTTGAGAGTCAAAAAGTGAAGTTTCATATTTCTTACTTTGGACACTAACGTACCATATGGTATAATCGTGATAGTTTCATATCCTTGGCCAAAAGCTCTTAGGTTTTGTTCAAAACAAAACTGGCCACTCCTAGCAGCTTCTGCCATCGGTACTTGGCTCACATTTCCCCGTTTCTCACCCTTCTGCAGCTCAGTTCCCCACTATTCCTATTCGGGAAGAGTGGTAACCCTAGGGAGCTGGGCAACATGCAGGAACACGGGGATCTCGCAAGCCCTACAGTGATCATTTCCCACATCAGCCAGTTTTCTCACTAGCTTTGACTTGCTTGGGGCTACGCTGGCAAGTTTGGCCGTTTAAAGTTATTTAGTACCTCTACTGTCCTTTGTCCCTGGATCTCAAGTACTAAATGGCTTCTTGTCAAGACTGGTCCATCGAGCCACAGGTGCGAGTTTCTGTCAGTGCTCTTTGCTTCCTCCCTGTGAGGGGGGATCAGAGAACAGGCAGCAGCTTGGCCTCTTACCTGTGCTAACCCAGACATCTCTCAGTTGGGGGCCATGACTCTGTCCTCCGTTCTGCTAAGGCTGTGACCGTAGTCTCTCCGCTGGGGCCTTGGAGGTCAGTGGGGTCTTAATATGCACACACGGGTGTGAGGGCTCTGCTGCGTAGATGGGAAGACAACACCAGATGTGTGTCCACCGCCTCCCTTCCCTTTCCCTGAGGAAAGCCCGCTTCTCTCCTCAGCACTTGTCCATGTCGGTGGGAAGTGGAGTTTCTGTGGAAAATCCCTAAAAACCCGGCAGGCAGGGCAGGGTATTTCCCTGGCCTGCTTCTCTCGCGGTGGAGATGGGGGTGAGCTCTCAGGGTTCCGGGTCCACACCCGCTCCATTGTGACACACGCTCGGAATGCAAAGTGGTCAGAGACTGGAAAGGAACTTCCCTGAACTCTTCTTGGACATGGAAGGGAGCTGGAAGAGGGAGCAGGCGGGAGGCACCCTCCGCTCTGAACTCTCTGTTTGTGAGTCTCTGTAACTCAAGGGTCCGTCATGGGCACAGCCGGCAATGACCCACAAGTGATGCAATTCCCACCCATTGACCAAAAGAGAGCGCGGAAAAACTATGCCAATCCCAATGATCTGCGCCACACCTTTGAGGCTCTGTCTAACCTCCACAAGTTGCTCCCGAATCATAGGATGGAGACGCTTCACTCCTACAAGAGCGACGAGGACAGAAAGAAATGTATGTGAGTAAGCAAGCATTTCATCTCGACAAAAATTGTCTCCTTGGGGGCTAGCGGGTCCTGGAGATGGACTTGGGGCCTTCGCACTGAGCTACACCCCCAGCTGAGCTTCTCTTCTATCTTGAGACAGGGTCTTGGTAAATTGTACAGGTGGGGTTGGGACTTACAGTCCGCCCCCTCAGCCTCTCAGAGCTCAGGCATTCTAAGCCTGTGCCCCTATGGTCAGCTCAGAATGCCTCTCCTTTCAGCCAGGAGGAAGGACTTATTCTTGCAGGTGGGGTCAGTTCTTGAGATGGCTCCCAGGGCCATGTTCACAGAGCTTGGTGTGGAATCTCCCCACACACTGTAGCTCCTTCTCCTGCTCCTTGCATTTGGTCTTTTATAAGCTGAGCTGGGCCACTCTTCAGGCAAACACACCCGTGGAAACGGACCAAGTGGATTAGTGAGATGACTTTAGGTAGAACGTCAATGAACTCCTTTGCTCTGTTTCCTACTGTTGCTTTCTCCCATGGCCGCAATTCTACTACCACAGGTAGAAGGTGGCTATTTCGCCTGAGGTTGTAAATAACTCACAGTTTTAATTATCATTCTTTTTGAGATAGAGGTCTTACTGCAGGTGGCCTCAAATCCTTGGTTCAAGCGATTTTCCTGCTTCAGCCTTCTGGCACGTGCCACTCACTACACCCCCAGACAGAAACCAGCAATTTTTCCAGTTGACTGAAAATAGCTTGCCATTCTTGAAATTTAACCAATTTGTAAAATCCAGTAAAGCCTGCTTCCTGAATGATTGAATGGGGGACACAGGTAGACAGAATCCACCTCTGCCTATGAACTTAGAAGACAAAGGAGAATACAGAGGGCTGGGGATTTAGCTCAGTGGTTCTGCTGCCTGCCTTGCAAGCACAAAGACCTGAGTTTGATCCCCATACCAAAAAAAAAAAAAAA